ATCTCTCCCTCTCTCCTCCTCTCTATGTGTCTCTGTGCATTCACATCATATTACTGCATGTCACTATCTTTAAATCTCACTTACTATCCACATCTTTTTCTGGGAGCTCCCACTGCTACGTCAGCAGCGTATGAATGTAGATTAGTTAGTACTGATGCAGCACTCTTTATAGTGTCAATTGCCTTTGGTGTGTGCATTTGTGGATCTTGCACAGCAGAAGGGTAGCAAAAGTCACGTTTAAACTGATATTTAATTGAAAGGCCGCTTCATATGTAATTGATGGCTTGTTTATTTTTAACTCCTGGAGAAAAAAACACTTAAACTTTTCAACCAGAATAACTGTATTTGCATTTTCAAGTTGGTCTTTTTGCAGATCTGTGTACACAAAGTCTTTGTACACATTTTTTGATTTGTGATACATCTGTGGATCTGTCTACACATTTATGGATCTATGCATTCAAAAATAATATCTCCATTTATTCTCTATAGGATTTTTGTATGGTACAACAAAAATGGTGTCAAAAAAGATAAGGTATAAAACATTTAAAATGTTAACGATACTGATAATTAAAATATTATCTTATTGAGGCAAGGAATATTTAATGGCTTATGGCTCGTTCTCCATGAGAATTTTTTAAACTCAAAATTAAAAAAGACTTCTGGTCAATGTTTTATTTTTTTACTTGACACATTAAGTATCTCATCACCATAATATGATGGATACCTGTTGAAATGAAAGGGTTATAGGAAGAATAATTCATAGATAAAATAATAAGTTTACATGGAAATTAACTGATATTTAATTGAATTGAGAATTTTTGGCATCTGGCCATCACTGTCTTTTATGTTGAAATTGTATTCCTTCCTTCCTTCCTTCCCTCCTTCAGAAGTGCCGAACACACAAAGCGTTTCAAGCTGTGCGAATAATTGATACAAACATTATCCTCTTTAACAACAAGGGAAAAGCTTGACTTGTAGAAACATTAAGGAAACTTACCTTAACTATCCCATGTCTGTTGTCCCTCCACAGCTGGGCAACATGTTGGGGTCTTAAACATGTGAACTCACAACTTAGTTTGAAGCCCTTTCCATCGTTTAGCTGATCAACAGATATACTCACAATAGTTCCCGTGCAACCACCTTCAGAATATGCAGTGAAAGATAAGTTTGTGAATATATTTCAAAAGATTCTGTGCAAGAATGGCCACCCATTATGTCAAATGACACTTCCTGTCAGGATATTGATCGAAGTGGCAACAGTATTGAAATATAATAGCTTGATAGAGGTTGGTAAGGATAACTGTAAAATATATTAATGAGTAAGAATTTGAAAGCCAATTAAACCAATCATTATAAAAAAGTAATGCTCACAAAAGAAAATCATTTGGAAAGGTGCAGCTCTAGGATTTTCAATTTGGACTTTATTTTACTGGATACTATATATTTATATATTTTTGAAAATGTAACTACACCCTCTGTAAATGCTTTCCTTGAGATAATCAAACTAGTTTTTAGAAACATAACCACACACAATTGAGGCTGAATTTATTTTGGGTAAAAAAGCCATTTAATTATAAAATGTCTGCAGCTTTCATAACATGTATTATTCAACGTGAAAGTCAAGTACTTGTGGATAATTGAAAGCATTAGTGAAATGTGCTTTTTGTTATTAGAGAATTCACATTTGGGGATATTACTACATTAATGGAAACCCTAAAGGCTGATTTACTTGCATCTCTGAGTTTTTCCAAACACACTATTCTTTCAACCAGGCTCCTTACACAACTATTTAGTGATTAAGTATTTACAAATAACAACACACATATATATATATATATATATATATATATATATATATATATATATATATATATATATATATATATATATAAAAACACACATATAACAAAAACATAAAAACAACAGAGCTGATTAATTGCTTACAAAAAAGTGAAAAAGGCACGCACATCCAAGAAGGTTAAAGTGTTAGGTGCTGGACCAAAAAACATAAAAAAACACAAAACACAAAAAGTACTGAGACCATCTCTGAATAATTGCTTACACAACATAAAAACCTATTGATCCTGAGAGGAAATTTGGTGTGCAATAAAGCTGCTGTGTTCATGTTATAAATTAAAAATACAATACAATTTTAACACTTGTACACTAAAAATGACTGTAAACCTCACCTTCTGTTTGAGTCCAGAACAGCAAACTCACCAATAGAAACAACATGTCTGACTTTGCAACCATTTTTGTCAAACACTTTCACTCTCAGGCTCAGAATGGCTCTCGTTTCAGGGTCAGGTTTGTTTCACACTGGCAGCATCATCTGATAAACAAAAGCTGCTGACTCGAATCCCACACAGGATGTACATCTCTGCGTTTCTAGGACGATGAAAGGCTGTGATATCTATAGCAGTAAAGGCCATAGCTGATAACACACGTCACTGTTATCGACCTACATGTACTGCAGGTGTAAAAATCCCCACATGCACTGCAGTTTCCAATAAAAGAATAAAAGAACATCTTTGTTTGGATGTCGTTATCCTTCAAAGACATATATGTTAAAGGTCAAGGCTGCATACAGTGCACAATACCTTTTTGGCACTTTGTGGCTTTATTCTTGTTTATTTTATTGGCATATAAAATGGTATACTTCTCAAATTGGGTTACTTTATCGCTCCTTATAAGACTAGTTAAACGCTCCTATTTGGTTTGTATTGATTTTGTCGCCTTCTGTGGACAAAGTGATACCTCTGTGTTGCTCTTATGGTAAATGGACTTAAGCTTTTATAGTCTTTAAATCTCTATGACTATTCAAAGCTCTTTGAGTAGTCAAACATCACACCCTGATGGTAGAGGTTGCTGTGTAAAGAGTCCATCAGTATTAACTCATCCATTCATACACATTCACACACTGATGGTAGAGGCTGCTGTGTAAAGAGTCCATCACTGTTAACTCATCCATTCATACACATTCATACACCTCCAACCAAGCAGCGAGAGCAATTCGGAGTTAAGTGTCTTACCCAAGGACACAACGGAAATGATGCTGCTGGGGATCGAACCCCCAACCTTCCAGTTGAAAGAGGGCCGACTCTACCAACTGAGCCACAGTTGCCCCTTGTCCTGTACATGTATAAGTGTTTTACTTTTTCTTTTACAAAGAATCTAAGGGTTTCTGTTATTTTCCTCATCTTACCTTGTGGCTGTGTAGTATTAAGAATAACTAAATAATACATTTTTATGCTGATGGTGTCTTCTGCTTTTGTAGGTCATTAAGAAACATCAGTATTTATTTCAGTCTGCTTCATAACCACTCCTCATAGGACTTTGATATGTCCATCAAATCAAATAAAGAAAGACAATCAATGCATGGTCAGACTAGGTGTAATAAATAAGCTATTTTAATTTCCTAGTAATGTATGATGGACAGATATAACCTTTAGGCATCCACTTTAGGCAAAGTTATATTGTGAGACCCCCTCATCCAACATGTGATGAAAACTCCTATTATATATATCAGAATCAGCTTCATTAACCATGTATGATTAGACACACACAAGGAATTTGTCTTCAGAAACTGTGCTCTCAATGTACAAAAGAATAACATTAAATATAAAGATAATATAAGCAAAAAAAGACTAATATATTCAAGGCAAAATGCAGTTGTGAGTCGTGCAAAAATGCAGAGATGAAATATATGCTATTATGTAACAGATGATTATTTAGTTTATATCATAGTGTATATATGTGTGTGTGTGTGTGTGTGTGTGTGTGTGTGTGTGTGTGTGTGTGTGTGTGTGTGTGTGTGTGTGTGTATATCCAGAAGTAGCAAAACAAACCTCTACTCAAATGATGAAACACAGCATGGCTCCAATATTTTCATGAGCAACACAGAAAATTGATTAAACAGAACTGTACTTAAGAATGAAAGCACAATCAATGTGGGACTGAAGGTGTGTTTCTGCCTGGTTTAAGTGTCTGTATTGTCACATTGTATAAGGAAGAAGACACTACATACTTCTGTAGAGACAACCTCATAAACAGATTGTGAAGTGCCCCACTCTCTCTCTCTCTCTCATTAAAAGTCAGTCCATCTCCCTCCCCACTGCCAATATCAACAAATACCACTCCATCAAATGAAGAGCGGTCATTTTCTTGAATAGAATTATCATGACAAGAAAGTAATGAATTACTCTACATTGTCCATCGCAAAAAAATAATATAGATATATTATTTTACATTGTAAGAACAGCATGCCACATGTTACTTGATAACTAATAGCAGTTGGTCAAAAAAAACGATCATTCAAAGAGTCGTTGCCTCTCAACCGGAGGCACTTAGGAGTGAATGAAAACTATAGTATATTGATTTACAGCTGCCCCATCAATGTGCATGATGTTTATTGGTTTATTGATTGATAGATTGAAAGGAATGGCAGACAAAGTCTGAAATCTGACTTGCCTCACAGCAGCTCTATTTACAACATAAATATTAAAGACAAGATACAAACACAGGCTATGTAACCTTCATTTGACGCAGTTCAGACTCCAAACAGAAAAACATGGGCCTTCATGGTTGCTTTGGCATTAATCTTTAAAGGAATTGATCAGAGTTGTTTAAAATGAATTGGTCCATGTAAAAATGTTTTATGATTTCTTTATTTAATTTTGTATGGATGTGAATGTAAAGGCTATTTCTTTTGTTGCCCTGGTATTGGTTAAAAAATGCCTTCTACTTCATTGATGAAATGTCATTTGTTTTTGTATTTTATCTTAAATGTGCTGGAGTGTTGGGTTAATATAACAATGTAGCCTACCTCTTTTCTGACTCCATTGATAATATAGATTTTAAAACAGAGAAAAACACATACGTGCTTTGACAGTTAATACACTTTTCTCTCTAAATAAACAGATAAAAGATTCCTGTAAGCAGTTCACGCCTCTGCCTCTTGATCTTGCCGCGCTGTACTATTGCATTATGGTTAGTGACGGTTTCAGATGGGTAAACCAAACATCACACAGAATAAGAGATGAGCAGGGAAACGAGAGGAAGAAAACCAGAAGAGTCTTTTTCAAGCGTAGATCAAAACCGGCAGAAAGACAACTTGTTAAGGTATGAACGATTTTTGTAACTTTGAACAACATTTGTATTAAATTGGCTAGCTTTATTTATGATTGACAATGTATGGCAGATATTCAGTGTTAGCCAACATTGGCTACTTAGCTGAAGGGCTAACATGTTAGCCACTTTTAGCTCCTATCAGGCTGCGTCTAGTGAACATTAGCTGGGTAGCTAGTTGTTGATGCTGCTGTCAATCTTTTTATTCACTACTGTACTTTATTTGACGTAAACTATGCGTCGCTTTATTTGCTTCTCTTTTCTCCCCACTTCGTCGTTTCAAATTTGTTACTTTTATGCTAACGTTGTCAAGCTACTGTGAGGCCAAACACTCATACAAACTAACATTACTGTGGCCTAGACCAAACTTGTCGGGATACCAAGCTTGATTTATAGTTTGGTGTTTGATAAAATCAAATATACTATATTTTTCTGAATTATGCTTCAATATACTATGGGGTAATGTTGTAGGGGTCTAGTTATCGGAGAGAAGATAATCTGCTGCTGTCGTTATTAGTTACCATTAGCTCCAATAGCAATCTGGAGCTCCCCTGGTTTTAGAGCACCATAACTTATAAGCTTTCTTTGAAATATTGACACCTCAAAACTGTCTTAAACAGTCTTTTATTTACGGCCTTTCATGCTGGCGTTTATATATTTACTTGCAAATACAGCCACGAGTGGTGCAGCTAAGGTAAGTTAACAATTGGAGTGTGGGTGGTGAAACGAGGCCATATTGGCAAAGCTAGCTATAACTAACATTTTCAATAAAGACCTTCTCCAGACTTGCTGGGAAGTCTGAAATTAAAAGGTTGGCTAGAAGCATAAAAGCGTTTTATTATCATCGACACCATCAACAGCCTGCTTATACACATTTGCTAGTTTTCCAGTGAGGCAATGTTGATGTTCTAAGGGGAAAAATCTAATTTTTTTTTACACCATCCTAACATTTCATAGCACACAGTGGACTGCAACGTAGAAAGTGCACTTAAGGTAGTCAAACTAAATGTATTTGAAAAAGAGGGTTTCATAATCATCCAACTAGCTGCAGAGCAAAGAGAGAGCGGAACTGGGAAATGTCAATTCATAAAAAGCTATGTTTTGATTTTGGCAAGCATGCTCAGGACACAGATTTACGTTGAGAAGAGGATAACTGTTGATATTCAAGTGTCTGCCTCCAGCATCATGCTTAAGTTTCTGTGACGGCAGAAGCATTGAATGCCTGTTTACATTTTGCAGGCAGGGAACAAACATGCTCTGCATACACAGTGGTCAGTTCTCTACATGTTTAAGGAATGATCAGCACTAAAATGGACAAACTGTTATTGTAAATTAGCCTTGGTAAACAAAGAAACTGGATTTTTTAGTTTTGCATTTATAAAGTTGCAGCATGAGAGTTTCAGGTCACATATTTGACATTACACACCGTGCGATGTGACTATTGTACATTTGCATTTCCCAAATATGCTTTTCAAACAATATATTGAGCATTCCTAATTTGTATATTATTTTATTTGTTTTGTTTTTTATTGAAGTGAGGTTAATCAAAAGAACATAAATGTAAGACCCACTCATGTATCACTGAAATGGGCCATCCAGAGCAACATGTTAAAGGCATACTTCATCCATTTGCATTAAGCTTTGTATCATTAGAAACCTGGTAGTATTTTTGAATGGTCGTGCATCCAGCCCTCATTTTCCCCTGAGACGAGAAATCTTTGTATTTCTAAGTCTGAAAAGGAGCTTCCAGTGACGCAAATATCGTCATATTGCGTCACTGGAAGCTGTTGCGGTTAGCAGGGTGAAACTGCAATGCTAGTTCCTCATATTTTCGACCACTGAAGCTACAGACCAATCACAGATCAGTGGGTGGAAACTCACTCCCAGAATCGAAACTTAACGTCCGCCATATTGCTTGGAAGCTATGCTGAAGGGCTCTATGGAGAAAGCTGATAATGACGAAAAAATATAAATATAGCAGTGTGATGGCTGCTGCCGACAGGCCGGTCTTGTGTCGAAACATAAGGCCTGCCTGTCGGCGGTGGTGAGGACGAGGAGCCCGGGCCGGGCTCGAGCTGGGGCGGACTGGTAGTGTCGGTGCTCTCACTGTTTGTCTATGGACACAGACATAGAGTCTGTTTTCTGCCAGGAATTTCCAAGATCAATTCTGGAAGAAATCTCTGAATCAGTTGAGGCAACGGCCTTATGTGTTGAAGTAAATATGTCTGTAAATGTTTTTATTACTATACTGTAACGATCGAATTTCCCTCTGGGATTAATAAAGTATTTCTCATTCTGAACTAGAGGACCTTAGTGGGACTGGCCTGCGGTGCTGTGCATTCTGGGATTTGGTGTCTTTCATCCACATGAGCCAAAAAAGACACTTTCTGCTTTTTCACGCTTTCACACTTTTCACACTTTCTGCTTTTTCACGCTTTTTCTTCTTTTGGAGAAACAGCTTTATCTTTTTTATATTATGGTGCAGCCTCATAGCCTGTGGCAAGCGGTTTTGTGGATCCCAGAAAAATAGACAACAAATTATTTAGTTCATATTTTTATTTACCAGTTACCATTTTAAATTTAAATTGTCAAAAGTTTTACTACACTTAATTAGTATTTGTGAAAAATGACCTTTGATTGTGGACAATGTTGAAAAGTGCTTGCATTTAAAGATTGATTTTGGCGCTCTTAAATAATATAACAAAGTATGGTCTTTTGAGATAACACGTTATCGGTTTCCCCGATTTTGATGATGCAATTTGTAAAATCTGCACCATAAAGATTCTTTGAAAAGGGGAAACGCAGTAAGTGTTAGAAAGTAAAATCAAATACGAGAATGTAAAAGGCACAAGTACATTACATAATGCACGGGAAATTCTAACGAAAAGATATACAGTGCTTAACACATTCATTAGACCACCATGTATGCCACAGCTGTATGCCACATTTTTTATGTTTCTGTACGTAGAAACAGTAGAAGTAGAATCAGAACGTAGAAGCTCTTTAACCCAAATGATATTTTTAATGTTAAAATATAATCGTAATTGTTATCCATGAATTTTCAAATTTACTGTTTAAAAAAAAAAAAAAAAAAAGGTAAAGCACAGTGAGCCGGCTCAAATTTGGGTATAAAAAGGGGAATTCAGTTTGAAATTGGGTTCATACCAACAAGACAATGAGCCCAAGTATACTTTAAATCTGTGCAGAGACTCTTTGACCAAGAAAAAGTAATCTGGAATACTGGAACTGATGGACCGGCCAAGTCAAAGTCCGGATTTGAATCCTATTGAACAAATTTGGAATTTAGTCGATTAAATTTATTTATTTCACAAAAGTTGAATCTAAATCAAGTCTGTGGGAACAGCTAGAAACTATTTGGAACTCAGTAACAAAAGAGGCTGTTGCAAAGTACAAACAATGCCAGCAAGAATGCAAGCTGTAATCAAGGCCAAAGGAGGACAATCAAAATATTAAGGTTTTTGGTTATGTGTGAAAAATATTTTAGTTTTCAACAAGTTTTTTTTTTCTTCCATACTGCTATTAGAATTCATGATGTTTCATAATGGGAGGGTCCCTCTGAAGCCAATATTTAGTAAGTGCTTTTTGACTTGCCTCCTGAAAAATCTTTAGAAGGAATATGTCCTTATTACAGAGACCTTCAGGAATTTTTCCAACGTAGAGAGATGTGAAAGAGAAATGTGATGTTGTTCAGAGTCTCTGCACTTTATAGTCACACATCTTTCCAAAAGGGTTGAACATGTGGCCAAGACCAAAAAACATGTACACAGTCTGTGAGACCGAGAAACTGGAGAACCACTTAATTTTTACTAATTATTTGGGGTAATGAAAAATCATATTTGTTTTTTCCAGCAGAAGTCTCGTCAAAAATTGTTTTTGTTGAAGTGGATTGATTTTTCCAAATTGGAATCCATGCGCTTAATGGTTTAGGGCCAAAATTCATTAGTGACCTCCTGATTAATCACGAACCATCCAGACTGCTCAGGTCGTCTGGAACAGGTCTGCTCTCTGTCCCCAGAGTCAGAACCAAACACATTCAGTTTCTATGCTCCCTATATCTGGAACAAACTCCCAGAAAACTTACCCTAACCCCTTGCCTTCTTCTGATATTTATTTTATATTGGTCTCTTTTTCCCAGCGCTGTCTAAAGTAACCCGTTGTATCTTTATTCATGAAGGTAAAACCTTTATAGAATTTACCAGTTATGCCTTAGTACTATTTGAATCATAAGCGTCAATTTAATTTGTCTTATTTTGGTGGGTTTGGCTAAATCAGGGGTCTTTATTTATTTGAGAAAAAAGTGGCAGATAAAAATCCACTTTGCTCGATTCATAAGACTGACGTAATCCTCAAAATTCTTGATTTCCATTTTTAATTATTTTACAGAAGGAGGTGAAGTACTGTGAGGAACTTTTGGTTTGTGTCGACTCGTTTAGTCCATTTGTTTTTATGGTCCTGTGATGTCAGGGGGAAGTGTGGATGGAAAGCAGGTCAGCTTAAAAGACCAATCTCTTAACTACTTAGTATTGAGCTCTGTTGTCACTTCATCATGTTTTGTGCTGTCGTTTGAATGTAAAAGGAGGCCTGACTCACTCACTGTAAACCAAATCTACTTAAGGGTACAAATAAAGTTACCTTAAAGTTAGGATAACATGTATTGTTTTCAAAATTGAAACAGAGCCATTTAATAAAAACTGTCGCCCCCATACAGTGTGTGACATTCATGACACCATGTTTGGTTGTTTAGTTTTATTTATAACTCAAGAAATCATAAGGAAAAAAAATGTAGATATGTAGTTCTGTTTACATGTGGAATATTGTTTGCTTTAATTTATTTTCATTTATTTATACTACTGTGGAGGCAGCGAAATATATGCAGCACTTGGGGTCCAAGATATATTTTCCCAAAGGGACAATAAAGTGTAGCATTGCATCGTATTTTATCGTATTATATTGTTCCTTTGCAATTAGAAGTTTTCCTCAGATGATTTACTGTCATTTTACTCATGCAATGGAAGCAATAGACAGCAATATTTAATACATTATTTGTCATTCTTCTCCACTCTGTCTTCCAGGTGTTTTAAACCCCTGCTCCGTTCTTTGGACCTGGGGACCAAGGCTTCACCTGATGATTGATAGCACCAGGAAATTGTGTCATATATTACCAGTCTGTCAGACAGTGGACACCATTTGCAACAACCACTGACCTATGGCAGTATATAAATAAAACAAACAGATTGGTTTAAAAGGAAACATCTAAAATTTATCTTTTGATAAAGTTAACATACTACTACTGTCACATTCTGTATGTGGGTCAGGTGTATGGCTGTCATGGTGGACAGTTATGTCTGAGCCTGAAGCCTGAAAAGCTTCATAAATTCTTTATAGAATGTTAGCATTTGGCTAGCCACATATGGTGACGGATCAGGTCATTATCCCTTTCCATCACCATCTCTGGCCCCTGCAAGGGGCTTTAAACTAGTATAAAGTCTTGTCCCTTACCCTCCCATCTTTTTTTATTTTGCTTTCATTGAATCATCTTTCTATCCATTAAACAATCACAGTATTGCTCACCTTTCTCTCTTTTTATAGTACTAAGCACTAGCCTTACTAAACTGTGGTTCAATATGAGATTATTTTGAATTTTCAATTCATCTCGTATTCTAGTGAGAGTAGCCAGTAGCTACCCAGTTGCCACAGTTTAAAATCTGTCCTCTAACATCAGTCTCCAACCCCAGTTTCATTAACAAGAGGCCAGAGTAGACCCCCCCTGAAAGTCTTGCTGCTAAGCAGTTGTTTTGGTAGTTTTTTTGGTTGAATGGAATCGGCTTAACCGTGGAGAGGCCAGGCTACCACAAACTGATGGACTTTGACAAGCGAGGAGTAGGAGGAGGGGGTGGTGGAGGTAAGGGAGAGACAGAAGAGGGAAAGAGGATGTCTTCGAAGGCAGGGAGTCGATCAGGGCATGGTGGTCGGGGTGCTGGCTCTAACTCCGGGGTTCTTATGGTTGGACCAAACTTCCGGGTTGGGAAGAAGATCGGCTGTGGAAACTTTGGAGAGCTACGACTTGGAAAGAACCTGTACACCAATGAATATGTTGCAATCAAACTGGTAAAAATAATTCCTTTTTATTTTGTTGATAGTGTTGGAGGCTAGCACAGGCTACTTGAACTACTTTAAATAAAAGCCAAAAACACAAGACATTTTCACTTTATACACCTTGAAAATATTTCATTCAGATTTGGCTAGCAAGAATATTCCAGTATTGTCTGTATGTAACATAAATAATAAGTTGAACTGAAAGATAATTAATCTAATTGAACATAATCCTGATTTGTAGGAGCCTATCAAGTCACGGGCACCACAACTTCACTTAGAGTATCGATTCTACAAACAGCTGGGATGTTCAGGTGAGGAATCTTTTCTTATGCCAGATTTCGTATTTAAGATTTTTTTACAATCATTTTAAGAACAGTATCAAACCATTTTCTCCCTGTTTGGAATTCAGTTCCACATCAACACATTGTCACTGTTTACTTCTCTTTTGACCTGTGGAAGATCAATGTCATCATATACTGCATTAGGGCGCGGTCACACTGGCAATCTGTACCGTGCCCCTCCTCACCATTCCACCGCAGGCCGTGAAGGCCAGCGGTGGAATGGTGAGGAGGGGGGGTAATCATGCTTCAGTATGGCACGGTACGGAGTGCCAGTGTGACCGCGCCCTGAGTGTACCAAGATGGTCTCGCTGCAAACCTCCACTCCTCGGCTCATTCTGTTGTAGGCTTCACTGTCAGGCCAAGAAAAGCATGCAAGAAAATAACTAAATAAAATTCGGTACACACTTCAGGTTGAAGCATTTTACGATTTGTATTTGTAAACAATCTTCTGTTCTTACCAGGCCTACCTCCTGTACATTATACAACACATGCATCATGGCTTTATGTGGAAATGAAGCGTGCTTAGTTACAGCCGAAAAGAAAGGGAAGTAAAGTCACACATCAGAGAGCAACACAGAACATGACTTTACTAACTTTTTGGCTTTTTTGGAGTCATTTTAGTCACATACAAAAACACTCTGGGATTTCTCTGTATTGGAAGGCTTGGATCAATTTATATTTTAAAAAGAGACTAACTTAGTTTTGCAATTTAACTAAACTCTGTCTAATCGAAATGAAACATGTGCCTTGTAAAAAAACAAACAAACATGCAAACTGAAAATAATGAAGCTTGTGTTACACTTTAACCATATTAGTGCATAAGTTGTACAATACAAGTCAACAAATTTACCAAGACATTTTCAGAACACGTTGGAACCCTGTCATTTGTCATCAATCTGGCATTCACAGTATGTCAAAAGGTCTCTATAATCTCTTATAAACCTCAATATTGAATGGCTCCAAGATTGATTCCTTCTCATGTTCATAAGAAGTTTTTTTCAACCCAAAGTGCAGCCCCTGCAAGATCTTCAGAGCATCAGGCAACTCTATCTTGTCTGCTAATACATGCTGGTTTGCTTTGACCCATTCTGCAGCCTTTTGCAAAAATGACCAAAATCAAGCACATCAAACTGGTCTATAGAGAAGAGAGACAAAGGGGTAATCTAAGTATTCAATTCAGTAAGTCCAACAATGACAGATATAATAATAACTTCTGCTCTGTTTCCTTGCATTCTCTTCAGATCAGCAGGGAAGGGTTTGCTAATGCTTCACCTGATTTTGACAACTTGACAATTGACAAACAATATACAGGTCCTACTGTTTTCTGGATGCATCCAGGGCAATGCATGAATGTGACGTGTGGAACATGAGTGAAAGTATAATAACAGAAGCTTCACTGTTCAGACAACAACATTAACAAAGTTTACCAGCATTTCATTGAGATTGTAGTTTAGTTGTCAAAATGTGCAGCCACACCCAGATAGTAAAAGGTATTCTGCATTTGAATTAGCTTTTTTACTGTATTAATAAATATGCCTGTGGCTGTGACAAAGCCTTTTTCTTTTTTCATCTGTTCATGCAGAGGGTGTACCCCAGGTGTTTTACTTCGGACCATGTGGTAAATACAATGCTATGGTTCTGGAACTACTCGGACCCAGCTTAGAAGATCTTTTTGACCTCTGTGACCGGACCTTCTCTCTAAAGACTGTACTCATGATAGCCATACAACTGGTAAGATTAACACAGGGTTCAGACAGAAGGGCCAAAGAGCCTCCAAGTGCTAGCAGCTTAATGTCAGCCTTTTGTAAGGCAGGAAGTATTGCAGCTAATAGCTGGCTTGGGATCTGCTGTGATCTAGCTTTGAGTGAATGAAAACAAACGTATAGTTTTTTAAAATATATAGATTACTTATAATTGTATTTAATCTTTCATATTAAAGACTAGAAGTTAAATCCTGGTTGTATATATTCTCATTCTTAGTTTTTATATGTTTAGTACTTATTTACTTTGTATTTAATATTATATTGTGTTTATTTGCTAATATTAGTGTTTGGATAACCTGCTGCTGTAACGCCACAATTTCCCAGTTTGGGATCAATAAAGTAATTCTATTCTATTCTATTATAAAAAGGTGATTATGATTAATGCTAAATTACCTTTCCATACCATGCTTGTTAACTTTTTGGATTATTCTGCCCCCGTCCTGCTCTTGTTGCTATTCCTGAGTTTTCTCCCTACAAAGTTAATGAATATTCACAATATTCGTACACATACACACACATACTTGCACGCGCACAGCACACTGAGAAAATGATAAATATCTGCTTTTGATTTTCTCAGAAGAGCAGGGGGCAGAAGCGTTTTGATTGATGTAGAGGTTTTTCTATTGTGTACCGCTTGACAATAATTTCAGTACCACAGGTTTTCTTGGTGATTTGCTTTCTTGTCTGCACCCAACGGTACAGAAAGCAAACAGTTGTTTAACTTTAAAACACTTTTGGTTCATTGTTGGACTTCAAAGTGTTGTTCTTGTTGTTATTGTTTTTTTTTTTGTTTTTTTTTGCTGTGCTCTTTCATTTAGATAACCCGTATGGAGTTTGTTCACACCAGAAGCCTGATTTATCGAGACGTGAAGCCTGAGAACTTTTTGGTGGGACGTCCTGGCTCCAAAAGGCAGCACACCATCCACATCATAGACTTTGGCCTGGCAAAAGAATACATCGACCCAGAGACCAAGAAACACATCCCATACAGAGAACACAAGAGTCTGACTGGAACTGCTAGATATATGAGCATCAATACACACCTGGGGAAAGGTGAGCATTTCTTATGTCCTATATATAGTATCAAATAATAGGTAAGGATGAAATTCAGACAATTATTATTGGTGGAATACAGAAAGGTAAAGGTAGAGTTGATGAAAATTAATGTGACTTTAAAAATGAAGTGGTAAATTAAGTTTAGGTTAAAACTCGTAAATAAGTTAAAGAATGGTTTAATGTGTCTGCCTTTCCCACAGGAGTGGTATTGTTAGTACCATCCAGTGTGTCTAACCATATAGACATTGTACTTTAGTAAGGGATGTGTAGAATTAAACAGAATTATTTTGTGTGTTTTTTTTTTTTAGAACAAAGCAGGCGGGATGACCTGGAAGCTCTTGGCCATATGTTTATGTACTTCCTGCGAGGCAGCCTGCCCTGGCAGGGACTCAAGGTGGGGAGGAATCTAAACTATCATCCAGTGTGTTTATTAGGGCTGCATGATATATCATTGAACACTGCAGAGCATGCAATAGTGAAGCAGATTAACTGCAATGTGTCATCTTTTTTTTGTAGTTTGATGCAAAGCAACAACTCCCCAGGTTCTCATTTTCTGACTAATCGACAAGCACCAATACACCAAGTCAAATTCCTTGTATGTGTAAATGTACTCGGCAATAAACCCCGATTCTGATTCTGAAGAAAGTGTGCTTGATATTACATTAGTGCATCTTTTGGTTGGAGCACTGCATGTCAAACCTGTGTGTGCCCCGTCTGTAAAATGTAAATATGTACTGCTGCTGCTGACAGAAACTGTTGGAGGGATGCTCAAGGCACACACTCTGTTATGTGAGGAACCTTTCCACTGTGTGAATTACCAATATAACTATCATGTCTTCTGGTACTGGTTAAGGTGGGCTCCATATAGGCTGTGCCACAGAGTATTTACTTTTAGAGTTTGCACCAGCAGTGCACAGAGAGCATTGTGTTGTTTGAGTGGACAGGTAGTAGTGGTCTTTTACTTACCTCTGTCTAAAGTTGCCTTGGATCTTTCTATTACCTGTTATAAATACATTTCTGTCTCACTTGTAATTAGGCGGACACTCTGAAAGAGCGTTATCAGAAGATCGGTGACACAAAGAGAGACACACCAATAGAGGTCCTCTGTGAAAATTTTCCAGGTTTGTATGGAGGAAACGCACTTGTAAAAAAAAAAATGAAGAATTGCTGTGCGACTGTTGAATAGAGCATTAATAAATTTGAATTGTCTATGTGCAAAACAATGTAACTGTGGGTTTGTGTGTGTGTGAATTGTTTTTATGGACGCCCTTTTTTCTGTAACAGAAGAGATGGCCACTTACCTGCGATATGTGCGTCGCCTTGACTTCTTTGAGAAGCCGGACTACGATTATCTGAGGAAACTGTTTACAGACCTCTTTGACAGAAATGGATACATCTTTGACTACCAGTATGACTGGACTGGAAAGCCTCTGGTTAGTGTGGTTTCTTAGCAGTCTAACAATGAAATTAACTCAAGGTTTAGGAAAAGGTGAAAGCTGAGATATCACTTCAGAAGTGATAAAATGTTTGATTTATTTTTTGTTTAAACAGGAACTGATGGAAGTCATAACATGAAGTTACACTTATGTCTTTATTTTGAAGTTGCTTTGTAGATTGTGATCTGAGTAGTCTTGATTCTATTGCAGAGGCAGCTCAATGTATGCCGCACTTTAATCCAAAACAAATTTCTCTGAGGTGAAGTGTATTGCATCGTACTCACTGAATGAAGTTAGCATAGGCAATGTAAAGTTTGTCCAGCTTTTAGGCCACAGTTGAATTATTCATCAATTGAATACTGAAATGTTCTTCATGACTCATGTAAAGTTTGATTTTCATGTTTTTTTTTTTAATTTAAGCCCACTCCTATTGGTCCAGTATCCAGTGAGACTCCTCTTCAAACGAGTAACCGAGATAAAGCGCTGCAGACCAAAAACCAGGTACACATTCTTAACAAACAGTTCTTTCATCACATGCAGTCTAGTGAGTCAATCAGATTTTCTTCTTACTGCAGTCTAACCACACATACATACCAAGTCGCCACATGAAGCAGTCTGCATCTCTCTCATACTGCTGCTTCATCAACACATGTCTCTTTCTAGTTTGCTATAGTAAACCTCCTACAGAATGTGCAATGTTTGCCAAGAGAGCTTGAGATAGTCAATATATTGTTTGCGTATGATTTGGACAGCCTTGGCACTTGTGTGGTCTGATGATCGTTGTTTCATACGGCATTTCTATTGGTTGGTAGTTATTAATGTAGAAGCATTCAAATATCTGACACTGTCAAGTATTTGTCCCAGGCTGGTTTTGTTTGCAAGACCGGGAGATCAGTCATCTTTGATCCTCTCTCACAGAGTGATGTAGGACAACACTTTTGGAGACAAAGAATCATTTTTCATCTGGGACAAACTAAGGCTATAAATGCAAATGGACCTATTAAAGATTATACTTCATGGGGTGTGCATTTAAAGGTAATACGACTTGAAGAAGGATCTGAACTGGTCTCAGACTGGCTTGTTGAGCTTCTCTTCTTCTCTTCTTGTGCCCCTGCAGAGACAAATAGCAAACATGACACTGTAGTATTGATTTTGCAGGTTGAGCTTAAATTCATCTCATTATTAATAGAGAACACGAGACACAGCAACATAAGGATCTCATGTTAATGAACATTCTGTGTTGAGTTCCATAAAGGTAGGTCATGAATTGTAATGTTTTTGTTCCTGCTTGGGGACGTGAAAAGGACAGCTGTGTTTGTTGGAACTAGCAATGACAGTAACTTTGTTCTTTTTTAGCTGTTGTTAGATAGGGCCTTTACATTTAAAACAATTAGAATGATGTCCTCATTTTAATGTTTAGTACTGTCTACTACTTGAATAAAGTGTAATGTATAGTTACACTGCCTGTATGGAGGAAGCTGATTTATGGGCACAGAAGGCATGCAGTGGCCGCCATTATAAATGTGTCAACTCTGAACGAGGGAGGGAACTTCCCACAACCTCACGATACAATACGTGTCACGACGATACAGAGGCCTCGATACGTATTGTATTGTTATACACATTGATTTTGGATAATGACCATATCCTACAAATAATTTAATAAAACAGCTGTTCTTTATTGTTTAAGAATAAACACAGAGGCATAGTTTTAAGGATCCTATACCTTCAAACACATAACTTCATGTTCTCAGAGATCCGAGAATTAAATAAAATATTATGTTTATAACCCCATAGCTTTTATTAATGCAGATGCTATCAACTTATCATGTGTAGAGGGAGGTTGGTCTTTTATTCTTAAGTATTTTACCTTGTTTTTGCATAGCTTGCATAATGCATGACTCCAACTCCTGACACCATTGTGCTTGTTAAAATCTGAAATGCTCCTGTGCATTTACTTTCAGTTTTGATGCTGGTGCATAGAGTACATGCATGTTTGTTCTGATTTGGAAGTGCCTTGCATCATGTAGTTTGGCTTCTACTGCCGCCTGTTGGCTTTATTGTGAACTGCATCATAGGTTATGTGTCTTTCAAAACTATCATCATGTGCTTTTATTGACAGGAAGCACATGACGATATATTGCCATAGCCATTCTTTTATAGTCTTTAATCCACTTGCTCATTAGCTTAATCAGTAAACAGATGCATTTAATTATGAAAGACTAGTTGCATTGTAAAAGTTAAGTGTTTCTGTATATATTTAACATACAAATAAGAGAACTATTAAAAAATATTTCTATGCAAGCTTTTTGCAGACTTTCACATAGAAACAGGTTGTTAAGTATTGATACTACAGTGTGTGTGAACACTCAGCTTTTAAACACAGACTAAGAATTTCTACACACTGGGGAAGTTGCAGGGTCACCAACTGCAAGACTACAACTGCATTTCTTTTGAGATAAATGAATATTCCAACCTTGAATAGTTACATGATATTTAGTCTTGTAATGGAGGACAGAAAGCAGAGGTTTCTTATTCAATAACTTGATTATACTTTTATACTTTGGACATTTTTCTATGACTTTGAATTCACTTGAAAAGTCGTAAGTTGTAAGGCCACCAAAGAGAGAGAGAGAGAGAGAGAGAGTGTGAGAAGACACTAACTGTAGTTATGCATGTCATAATCCCCTGATGTGAGAGCCTTAGGGAATATTGAGTGAAACATTCCAAAATGCGAGTATTTTACTTGAGCCGGTGAATATAAAAAAAAAAAAACAGACTTGGGGAAGGTTTGACAAGGACGGAGGAAGGAGAGCAGAGAGCAGCAGTTGTGTGTGTATGTGGATAAGAAAATAGCAGGGGAACGGAGTTAAGTTTAGCAGATGAAGTTGTAAAAATGAGTTGGATAATAAAGCACAATTCATATGCATACAAACCTAATATATTTACATCTACCTAAGCTAGTAAAAGGTCTATGTAACACAGAAAATATACCACCTTCATGTATGGGCCTTCTATAAGTGCGCACTATGAATCTGTGCTCACCCTCCTGTTGCTCCTCCTTCACATACTGACTTTGTATTCACTTTTCTTTTTCCTTTTTACTCCGCCCTAACCCTTCTTTTCTCCTCACCACAATCTTCCTAAACCCACCACTACATCTGTTGGTACACCTATCTCTCATTTGCTTACTGTTTTACTGCTTCATGTTTTCATGTGATATTTACCCTTCCATTGTACCTGTCCTCTTTCACTTTGCCCTCTCCACCACCCTTACCACCTCCATTTCACCTCCTCTTCCCTTTCCGATTCTCCTGCGATTGACTTTCCTCTAGTCTCCCGAGGGGAAAGGCAGCCAGCCCACTCCAGTGACCAATCGAGAGCTGCTGGGCTCCCATCTTGCTGCTGATAGGCTGGGCGGGTCTGTCCAGGTACTTACAGGAAGGGTTGGCTCTCGGCTTCCTTTCTGTCTGCTTACTTGTCTGTCTTTCTGCTTACGTCACCCTCTTTGTCTCTGCAGTAGGACTGACCTCAAGTCTGTCCCTCCACACCTCAAGACTTCCTTTACATGGGACTGTTGTTGTAGAACTTGAAAATTGTGCCCACATAAGGTTATAACAGCATAGGTAATGATGCTAGGTTGTTGATATGGACCAGACCACATGATATGGTCTGCTTTTTGTGACCTGACCAGTGTTTAGAAAGATAACGATGTCACCAGTTATTGCTGAGATCACAAGAGTTCTTGAGTTGTCTGTTTTTAAAACTAACTTCATCTATAGTCTCTGAAGACTAGTTTTCAAATCAAATTGACTCCATCAATGGGTTTGATTATATAGTATTGTTTATTTATTCATTTTATTTGAAAGGGATCATGTAGAGGTGGCTGACCTCAGATTCATATCACATAGGGCTGGGCGATATGGACCTAACTCATATCTCAAGATTGTTTAGCTGAATGGCGATACTCGATATATATCGATATGTCAGAGAGAGAGAGGAGGAGCAGAGTTAAGAGGGACAGTCCTCATCAGTGAGCTGTATTACAGTATAGGGATTATACAGTACCCCCTTTTCCTCCTCAAACAAGCTTCGTGAGGCGATACTCAACTCATTTCAGTGCATTGAGTATCCTTACACTTATAGCTTATCATAACTCCTTATAAGAGTTATGATAAACTGCTGCTGAAAACACTGATATGGCTCTGTCATAATAAAAGCATTCAAAGATAGAAGAACAGTGGGATAGAATCTGTTTAGCGTCAAATTTGTCAAGCTTTAGCAGAGCTACAATTTTTAACAACACCGTAGGGAGTTACAGTATCTAAAGCTGCTCTCACGAATATGAGCCACAGCCCTCATCTTTATATTTACTTGGAATTGAGACAAGCGAGATATCAGATATATTTGTTGTAACGGAGATGCATCTGGGCTGTGCTGGGCACAAGAAACAGAGTCTGAACCTGTCATCATAGCCCCACAACTCTGGTTGCTGCATTTTGTTCGGCACTTTATTGTTCTTCTTTACATCATGTCTGGTCTCCAAAGACAATATAAACAGTAAGCAGCAAGAAGCGGATTCCAGTCGTTTAAATGCTGCCAACGGCAACGAGAGGGTTTCAAGTCACAACAAGTTAAAACATTTCACTTTAAACTGGTTGATTCTGTTTCTGTTTAAAATGTTTTCTTTGTCATCTCTCACTATTGATTCTCTTTTTACACAAGCTGGCTGAATTAAGAAAACTAGCGAATCCTGCATTTTATTTTCATGCTCTGACGTTTATTTAATCAGTTTTCTACTTAGAATTGTGATCGAGTTTTCCAGTAACACTGGCCTAATGTAACAAGAGCATATTGGGGAACAACCTAAATGTCTGTGATCCTCACGCACAAGACAAGTGAGATCAACAAGAGATCCTGCTAAACGGTCATATGAAACTGGTTATTATTGTAGAAGTTTACCCAGAGTTTCTTAAAGCGCATGCACATAAAGAGGGCGGATGTAGCTTTTAATAACCTTTCACGATCATGAATGAATCTGTCACCATCTTATCGTCATATTTTACAAAATCAAACTATATTAAAATATAAGAAAGTGTTAAAGACATGGGCTACTACAGACTAAGGTCAACACAAATTCAGCAGCTGATGTAGGAAGAAGTAATAATAATACATTTTATTTAAAGGCGCCTTTCAAAACTCTCAGGGTCACCTTACAAAGCAGAGATAAAAACAACAAAGTAACAATACAACAATAAAATTAACATTAAAAACACAAATATAGAGGATGTAAAGGAGTTGTGAGACCAGCTGGAGAATGATCAGTTTAAAAAGATGTGTTTTGAGATGAGATTTGAAAATGGAGAGAGTCGATATTACGGATTTGTGGTGGGAGGGAGTTCCAGAGGTGGAGGGCAGAGCGGCTGAAGGCCCTGGACCCCATGGTGGGCAGACGGGTGGTGCAGTGAGTTGAATGGAAGAAGACGACCTGAGAGTGCGAGTAGGTGTGTTGATGTGCAGGAGTTCAGAGAGGTAAAGCGGAGCGAGGTTGTGGTTGTGGCCTTTAAGGTGAGGAGCAGAATTTTGAAGGTGATGCAATGTTTAACCAGGAGCCGATGAAGCTGCTGTAGGACGGGTGATGTGAGTGGCAGAGTTCTGGACCAATTGAAGTTTGTGGATAGACTTGAGAGGGAGACCAAAGAGAAGGGAGTTGCAGTTGTCAATGCGGGATGTAACCAGGGTGTTGACGAGGATGGCAGTACTGCTGGGAGTGAGGGACAGGCAGAGGCGATTAATGTTACGTAGATGGAAATAAACAGACCGGGTGACATTATTGATGTGAGCTTGGAATGATAGTGTGCTGTCTAGGATGACACCCAGACTCTTAACCTGAGGGGAGGGAGAAACTGAGGAGTGGTCAATAGCCAGAGAAAAACTGTTGAGTTTAGAGATTGTTGATTTGGTGCTGATGAGGAGAAGCTCGGTTTTGTCACTGTTTGATTTGAGGAAGTTGCAAGTGAACCAGGATTTGATTTCTTGCAGGCAATCAGTCAGGGAAGTGGGCGGGAGGGAAGAGGTGGGTTTGGTGGATAGGTAGAGCTGGGTGTCATCCTTATAGCAATGGAACTGGATGTTATACTTACGGAAGATATGGCCAAGAGGAGTGGTGTGAATATTCAAATGAAGGCTTTCTCCCTGTGGGGTTTTAAAGTGTGGTTCCAGGAGCTGGGTATTGATCACCTCATCTTCTAGTTGACCAACTCTATCACTGAGCACCAGCTACTTTGGCTGTGCTTTTTCAATTGAATATTGTGTTTCATTTGGGCTATCAAACGATACGTTTTGGTTTTCCATGATTAATCACTGGAACTTCATTTCCTGTTTGGAGACAAAACTGCTTTTTTTTTTTTTTAAAGAGAATCAGGATCCTGGAGGAGAAAAGGTTACAACATTAACTTTACCACAGAAAAAGGGAACTTGTTACTAAAAGTCAAGGTAAATAAAAAAAAAAATAGCTAAAGGGAGAAGTCAATGAGTAAAATGTTTGATGTCACAAGATAATACTTTTGACCTGCTTACAACCGTGGTATTAACAAGCCGACCATGGAGAATGGAGGCAACCACCACAACTGCTGTGAAGTCAGCTGACACAAACTATAAACTGAATGCAACTTCTTCCCTTTGGGCACTTTTCGGCTTTCAGTCAAATGAAAAAGGAGAAGCAGCTGATTAAGATACAATTTGTAATGGACACCAAAAGGATCCCTGGAAACACATCAGATTTGAGCTCTCACCCCGCAAATAGTATGTGGCCTTCTACTTTATTTTCGTTGTGAATTTTACTTTTACTTATTTTATTATTTTCTTGAACAACTGTGCCATGATAATCAGTGAGCCGGTAGTCAGGTGGTGTGGTGTAATAATACTGCACATTGAGCCAGCCTGGATCACCACAGTGGGAACTCCTTCACAGCCCTACAGTCCACTGAGCTGTCTGGGAGTTTTTCAAGTGAAATGAGCCATTCAAAGGCACAGTCATTCTCTTCATCACTGGGGAAGAGGGCATACATGCAGCCTATGCTACAGGGGGATGCTGCAATGACTTGCCTATGGCGCGCCTCAAGGGACTAGCGATGTGATTTTAAACATAAGAATGCTTTATTTTCACTAATTCGTTAACGCTTACATCCCTAGTTTCAGTATTTGCAAATCATCACATTCATTCATTCATTGTATATATTTTACACATTGTGCCAACATCTTCAGGACTTAGGGATGTAGTGATAACACGTGTTTATCAGATTAATTAGTACAGGTACCAACGATGTAGCTTAAGGAGAATGTTGTCTGTAAAAAGTCTGATGATTTTTCTTTCAAATTACTGTGATGTCTTGTTTTTGATGGACAGCTGTAGTGTTACGCACCCTTTTAGGGGGGTAGTGTGCAACATAAAAGTAAAAAGAAATGTTCTCTCCTGGTCCTCAAACCAAAGGCTTGACTAAGTTTTCTAATTTTCAAAAATGATATATCACAGTACTAAAAAGTGCAAGATTAACAACTGGAAAAAAAGCAGCTGTGCAAAGTGAATCAATGTGACATTTTTCAATTGGTTATGAATGTGGCCGAAGGTAATTTGTAAAGAACATTTATTAAGTAAATAAATTAATCTCCAAAACCCAAATTGTGAAAGTGCAGCAAATAAAAGTTGCCAATTTAATGTTGAAGGCTTTTTCAGCGTCCAGTGAGAATATGACTGATAGTGAATTTGTTGGAGATATATAATGGGTTATATTCAATAATATGTGTAGAGCGTATCTTTAAATACGCTGGTTTAGTCTGAGTGTGACAGAGGGAATGACTTTGTCATTTCTTCATTTTCATTGTTGATTAGGGTTAGGTGGTAAGAGCTTGATGGTGAGATAGGGTCTTTATCAGGTTTTAGTAAAAAAAAAGAGATTGAAGAATTGTTGATGTGAAGACATGGGTTTGATTTCCACTGAACCTGTAGAAAACGGGGAAGAGAGTTTTCCAAACGTGTTTGTAGAAGGAGGCAGGGCAACCTAAGCAGCTTTATAGTTAGTCAGGAGTATCAGTGTATTATGGAATTCTGTTCTCTCGTTAATGTATCATCAAGAGCAGCTGCTTGGTCCTGATTTAGTTGAAGTAAGTTAATATTGCTTAAGGAAATGTCATGTGCTTGTTGAGCCTCTTTGTTGAACAATTAGAGTTTTGATTGAGCGATGTGACTTGAATTGTTACTTTTGTAATGATTCTCGCTGGTTTTTGACATCTCTAATGAAACTCAGCTCTGCTATGTAGTAAAGGTACAAATTATTTTTCACTGATTTTTTTTTTTAATCAATATCAGGGCCTGAATTTCTGCGCGGGGACAACTGGAGTCACGCACAAAATATTCAGTCCCTGCAAGTCTATCTCTTATAATGCGGGGAAATCCTGCATAAATTCATACATGTACAATGCTGTTTGTAGTCTCATATATATCTTTAATCCAAACAAAAGACATAAGAAATCCCTCAACATGGTCGTTCATCATTCAAAAATACTCGTCCAGGAAAGGAACAAAAGTAAACAAAACAAGGAGATCGCCTCTTCTTTTCTTTTTCCACTAAAAGACCAAGAGCTGACAATGCCAGCGCCGTTTTCTACTTTTTATCAGACATTATTCTCCATTAGTAGGTGACCTATAATACGAGTGGTGAGCGACAGAGGTGTGAAAACAGTCTTCTCGTATCATAACAATGGACTACCGCCCCCTGCTGGCATGGAGAGTTATTTCCTCTCACGAGCAGACCGTACGTGGTGGTTGGCCGTCGGCTGGAGTCTTTGCAGTGTGTTCAAGTGCAACTTTTTGGCCAAGACAAAAGGCGACATGAGGCGATGACACAGCCGGCCTTCATCACCACTAGTTCTTTGTCGACTGCTTGGTGTGTCAGGGTCTTTAAACACAGATTCTGAAATATCAGAAGCTGCAGACACTCTTCTAGAGTACACTTTTTTGTTATTTTCCTCGAGAGCTCTCTGATTCTCCTCCTTATCCCCCTACGCAGTTCCACATCCTGTCTTTATAACTTCTGCCATATTCAGAATCATACCGACATGTATACACTTTTTTCTAACTTTATTTGAATTGTTTTGTTCTCTTACAAACATTAAAAACGTTTCAATAAGTATACCCTTTGTATTTGCTTTGAAACACTCTACCACATACTGTTTGATTGTCTGTGAAAATTCTGAATTATGGGTAAAGTCACAGCAATGAAAAGACAGTATCATACAGAACTAATACTGAACACTAAGACTGTTATCAGAAACTCTAATTTTGTTTATTTCGGCAATCTTTGTAAAAAAAAAAAAAAAAAAAAAAGAAACATCTTTTACATGTAAACTGTTTATGCATAGTGTTCTGAAACTAAGAGAAAAAAAATACTGCTGACTTTTAATGCTCCATTTGATCAATCGATCTCTTCAGTAGACATTGTAATCACATGCTCTTGGTCTGTGTGCTATAAAACCTTTGTGATCAGATCTCCCTTTTCCATTATGCATCTGTTAAGCTCGTGTTTCCTGGTGCTCAAGTTCTTCATCTCCAGTTCCCTCATCCTGGTCTCCAGCCTCAATACTGTTGTGTTTGCCTTCTCCACGTCTTGTCTGTTGTTTTCTGCAATCATTTCTTTGTGTCCTACTTTGTCTGATCCTAACTGTTTAAATTCCACATGGAAGCCCTTCATTTGTCAGGAGTTTGAGTCCTTCAGCTCCACAGTTAGTTGTTTTATCTCACCTGCGTCTGCCATTGTTTGCGGCTGCAGGTGGAAGTCAGTGTTTCTTTCAAATGAGATTTGTTTTCCCCTCTGGGTCTTGATCTTGTAGTTATCCCCTGCATACTCCCTTGAGAAATGGGGTATTGAAGACACAGAGTTTGACGCTGCCACCCTCATTGAGAAGTTAGCCACCTTTGGTTGTTCTTTTACCAACAGAATCAGCTTTTATTGCCAAGTACTTTTACACATACAAGGAATTGATAGAAAAATAGACAAGTAACCAAATATAAATTAAAATGTGTTAAATGTTGTTTTGGTGTGAAAAATAACCTTTTTTAACCTTTAGTGAGGAAGCATGTCATTTTTCATTTTCCCACAGTTTTCATATTTATTTGCCTTAACGTGGATTTTAAGTTTTCTCAATTTTGTCACGCAAAAAACGTGTCACTCATTCCATTACTTATCATCTTTTTTTTCATTTCTCACCACCAGGTGATGAGTTCAACGAATGGGGAGCTGAATACAGATGACCCCACAGCAGGACACTCCAATGCACCAATCACAGCAAATGCAGAGGTTGAAGTGGCTGATGATACAAAGTAAGGACATGCACACAAATGTTATGTCAGTATGTGGACTGTCTTTTGGCTGTCATTGCTTTTTGTTCTCTGAATAGCAGCATTAAAACAAGTGTTTGTTTACAAAAAGTCATGGTCAAATGTATCAATGAGTGCTTTAAAACAGGTTTTTACCAACGTGCCTCATATTGAAGTCCTAATTAAAAGATTTTCACAAGAAAGGACTTTATAAAATACCTGGACAAATTCAGCATGTGCAGCCATACGTACACATATTTAAATATAACAAGGGTTTGTCAAGACCTGCTCTTTTTGTAAAGTGTCTGAAGATATCATTAGACATGATTAGATACTGATTGACATACGAGCATGTTGACATGCACACATATACTGTACACACAAACAGAGACGCACACAGGCTTTCATAAAGAGAAGTATGATGCACTCAAGAATGAACAGCATGGAAAGGAAAGGGGATAAAAGGTATTTCTTCAATGCAGCCAATAGATTCTGCTGTTCTCATATGAAATGGGAGTGTATAACAGAGTGTCTCCCAAAAGAGGTGATCTAGGTATGGTTAAAACCCACCAATTCGCACTCAAGTCTTTGTGTGGTGAAGGGTTAAATCATTCTTTGCAGGCATATTCATTACTGCCTTCATTTTGGTATTTTTGTCACCTTCTATAATTTGGTATCAACAAGGCCTCCATGCATGTCTTTATGTATTCAGAATGATGCAGCCCAACTTCTATGCAGATGCAAAAAAGGGAAAACAATCCACTTTTACTAACATCTCTGCACTTGGCAAAATTCTTTTACATTTGTGCTTAAAGTCCGTTATGACTTCGCTTTGAGCTTCTCTACAGAACCTTAATTCAAACACAGTTCAGATCTGAGGTCCCTTCAGTGTGGGAAGAAGGGGTTCTGACTTATTAGACAGACTTTAGGTAAAAAAAAAAACAACATATGGAATCATTTCCCTTTTTTCTTTTTATTCTGATATGACAGACAAATGTTATTGATATGTCAGTTTTCCAATATTGTGCAGTCCCAATGACAATATATATTATAAAATGTAATTTATTTTATTGAATTGCGTGCATTTCTAGTAAAAGTTTAAGATTTATTTGAGCGAAAAGTTGTCATTTAAAGTCTGTTGAATGTGTTTTGTGTTGCAGGTGCTGCTGTTTCTTTAAGAGGAGGAAGAGGAAAGCTATCCAGAGACACAAATGAAGAGGATACACTACCTTGTCTCCTTTTTTCCCCTATCTCAATTTACTTTTCTCTCTGTCGTTAGTCCTCTTGCTATAGCTCTCTTTAACTTCCCTCCTTAGTCCTCAGAACTGCCCCCTCTACTGTGGGAGGTCCCGTCCTGGGTCGGCTGGGCTGGCTCGACTATGGAAGCAGACTATGATTGCTAAAGCCGACAGACTGATCTCTTCTGCTCTGGACTGACTAGACAAACATGAGTAACATATGTTTGCTGTTCAGTCTCAGAGCTGTAAGTTTGGACTAACAGTGGTGTCTCATTGTAATTATCGCCTCCAATGGAACTGGAACTGGATCAAAACAAACTGCTGTGGGAAACAAGTGAACACAAAAACTATTCAAAGTCTTTGAAAAGCAAGCTAATCGTCTGAAAACTGGATTCACATGGTTTGCTTGCAGCCTGCCTCGTTCTCTTTATTTTTGGGGGATTTTTATTTTGTATGTTTTTTTTTTTCTTCCTTGCTGACTGGTTCAGAAGTGAGAGAAGTGGTTTTCTGGGAGATACGGAGCAAAAAAAGGATATGGATAGACGATGAGACTGCCAGACTACACCTGCTCACAAAACATATACATATGTACAAACACACTTTCCTCATAAAAGACTTTGATAGAAAACTGAATGCAGCTCTCTTACATGGTCTTTAAAGTTTATATTTGCTTGGTCAAAGGAAGTACAGGGTAAGATGCTTTGTCAAGTTCCTGCAACAGACCAGGCTTTGTGTACTTCTCAGGCACCCTCAGATGAAATCTCACACCCACAAGAATAATAAATTTATAAAGATGTTTATGAGAAAGCTTTTTCCTCTTTTAATTTGTAACTAAAAACGATTGTCCACGGTTTGGAACCTGTTTCTTTGTGTTTTTGAGTTGTTCCAAAAGTTTGTGTTTTCTAGCTTCAATTTGTGTTCATTGATGTTTTTTAATAACTTGTATTTTAAATTTTCAGATTATTTTTCCTCTTTTTTTTTCTCTGACTTTGAGTCAGATAACTCCATTTAAAAAAAAAAAGAACCAAATGAAATAAAATCTGATCATCATTTATAGGAATCATGAATAATATTTCTTGTGTTGTGGAGTATTTTGCTTATATGGGTGTTTATCATTAAACCTTGTGCAGAGGGTTTAAGGTGTATCATAAGTTAATTAAGTGTTTCTCTGATCTGAGACCAGTAGCCACATTTATCTGGTAGTGTATTATTTTGATCAAGTGTGTTTCTAGTTTCAATTGGGGCGTCTGTGTCATAAATGTCACACCCATGAAGAGATCAGGGGTTTTATTCTTGCCACCTCAAGTCCTCCATGTGAACTGTCACGACTGCACCTGAAGTGTGTGTAAAATTGCCTTGAGTGGTAAGAGGAATATAAACGCCATATAAAAGCTAAGGTTGGTACATTGGTACTAAAGACCTAGGAGTCATAAGTCAGTATGACTAACAGACAGGTCAATAGGAGATAGAAAATAAGACATGTTCTTGCTGTGGCACAAACTTCCCATGAGAGTCAGAATCCTGAAGAGCAACTTTACATGATGCTCATTTTCCCCAAAACAACAGAAAATTCGACCCACACGTCTGTTATTATTTTAGGGGTATAGAAGTCTTTGTGAAAAACATCACAGGGAATTGTTACTATAATTGTAAAAGATAAAACATTCCAATCATAGTTATTGTGTAAAATAATAGATCAGATATACAGTATTCATCATTTTCTCACGTTAATATGGAAAGATATGAATGATAACCAGACTTGAATATCTTCCCTTTTAAAGACCCACATGTACAATCAAAGAAAACATCAGAAAGTGGGTTGAGGGTATCTCTTCTATGCTTTATGGAAGAGTACATGCTTTGCCAATATAAATGTGGAATTGATCTAGACTCACTGTAACAAATGACTAAAGTCATTCATTTCAACAAATTGCCTCATAAATATATATAAGTGACTTTTCTAAATTCTGTGTTCTGTGAAACTGACTCCAACTCACTTAGATTCATTTACTTTTGCATTTGTGTTAAATATTTTTGGATTGACCTCGAATTTATTTACGTTATTTAAATGTTAGGAAACGTTGGAAAACAATTATTTTAAGTAAAATATGTTTACTTTACACACACACACACATTTCTAATAATTCAATCATTAGAAGGACTGAAGTATACGAAAGCCTAAAAGTATGTTGGAACTTACAAAGAAAAAATATATATATTTATATATTTTAAGATTTAATTTTCGCCTTCCTCGTTTTTCTTATTGTTTTTTTGTTTTTGTTTTTATTTGTTTTTGTGCTTCTTTAACAACAGTACGCCGTCACGTGAGGAAGTCACGAGCGAGGTTTCTGTGATTGGCTGAAAGGAGCAGGAAATTGTTTCCTATTGGTTCTTTATGCTGACGTCATCATTGCTGGTCTGCGATGTTGTTTACATCAGCCTGTAAATATGTCGCTTCATGGCTGCCAGTAGATGTTTACCGTGTTGAGTTAGATTAAAGGAAATGTTACTTTCCACTACGCTGATAGGGTTAGGGGTCAGGGAAACGTTTAGGAAACAGGGAGGGACTACACAGGTAGGGACTGCACATCGTCTTGTCTAAGCATGTTAGCTGTTCAAAAGTGATACAGTGGTAGAAATGAGATTCAAACTCATTGGTTCTGGTTCACTTTCCATTCCTCCTCTGGCTGTGACAAGGCGCTCCACTATCGCCTGAAGAGGAAATCCAATATCCTGCTGGGGCAGCATATAAATCTCAGACAAAGTGAAGTTAACATTTGTAAAGGGGATAGGAGGTGTTTTGTTGTTCTGGTTTATCATTTTGGATAAAAGCGTCTGCTAAGTGAATTGTAGAATCAAATATTGAGATTTTTTTAGTTGTTTGGTTACTTTTTATAGCGCCTATCTGGTTTGTTTAAGGCGCGTGTTATGATCAGTTTAAACCGTTTTGGATACTAAGAAGAAAAACGATGTCGGACATGCAGAGATCACTACCTGCCCTGGGAAGGCTCAGTTATGCGCTGGGACACTTTCTGAATGACCTGTGTGCGTCCATGTGGTTCACTTACCTACTGGTCTTCTACCACTCAGTACTGGGTTTCCAAAACTCGTATGCAGGTGAGTATGTCTACCTGTCTGTCTACCTCTATCTATCTATCTGTCTCTATCTATCTGTCTGTCATATTTACTATGTTTTTCACTGATTAAAACTGGATTGTGACTGTCTCACTTGTGTAGGTGTGCTGCTGCTGGTTGGGCAGATAGCTGATGCCATCTGTACGCCTCTTGTTGGCTACGAGTCTGACCGAACCCCTGGCTGTGGCAACTACGGCAAGAGAAAAACATGGCATTTAGTTGGTATGTAAAATAGATTGATAGACAGACAACTTAATAATATTGCACTGTGACTCTTTGTTACCTTGCCGTATGTTTTACCACAGTTTCCGTTTATTGTCTGTCTTCATATTATTTTGAGACTGTGTTTCTGTTTTTTAAATACTGAATGAATAAAACTATACGATAAAATACTAATATAAACAACTCTACATCTTCATATATGCATGTTGCTGTAAAAAGTGAGATCCTTCTGTTAATGTTCTATACCCAGGCAATAGAGGGGGCTAAAAGCTTTATTAGGAAGATACCAGTCCTGGGGTCAAGTCATGAAGTAGATCCTTGTTTTTCTCAGTTAGTTAGCTTTTATGCACATTCTCTCATAAAGATTGTGCATGTCGACTTTTAGGAAACTGCCGCTTGGACTCTGAATCCCATACTGAACACTAAGCATATATTTTATTGATCTTGTTCAGGTCAGAAGGGGTTTTACAAGACTCTGTCATCACAGGGAAATAAGGCTCATTCAAGGCGAGCCAGAAGTGGTTGGTTCTCCACTGTGGCATGATTACACAAAGGGAAAGCTTCGTTATACACATCCTCCTACAGGGTTAGGCTGTGTTAAGCACAGGCCAGGCAGCGCTGGGTGTAAAAAGGGTGATGAAGACAGCAGAGCTGAATAACGGATTTGAAAGTAGTCCTACGCATATGCAGGGGATATAAACATTTGGAAATATGAAATCTTTCTTATACTAAAACAGGGGTGCCCAACCTTTTTTGAACCAAGATCTACTTTTAAAGTTACCAGTCTGCCGAGATCTACCAGTCCACATAGTGAGCCATAGCCTTTACCGACAGCCTACAAACGCATTTAATACTCACACAACAAACAGAAAATAATATCAGATATAATAAATGAGAGTTCTGTAAAAAATAATGCAATATCGACATACTTTTTTAAAAACTCTTATTTTAGGGTAGGCTACATTTTAATATTACGTTTGTATTTATATCACATATGTTTTTCCCTTAATTTTGTTTACAACAAACAACTTTAATCTGTGTGGAGATGTTCACAGACTACAGCAGGCTGCTGTGAGATGATGTTGCTTTTGTTAAATTAGCTGCAGACACGGTGAGAGTGAACGGAGTAAAGTCCAACCAACCGTTTGACCGGATCACGTGTGTTCCCACCTCGGTCCGTAAAGATCACGGATCAACTGTGTGCTGTAGCACTAAAAGTAAAAAGGAAAAAGATTCGCGTGGTGGCTGGCGCTCCAGTGCAAGTGTGTGTGTATGTGTGTGCGTTTGCGCTGTATGTTGGTGTGTCTCATCCCCCGCGATGCTCACAGTCATGACAGCAGAGAGGAGCAGAGAAAAGTAGCTGCAGCTTCATCAAATGCGCTTAATACTCGTAGCATAGTTTCTATATATGACTTTTTTGTAAAACATTTACCCCCCCCGGTTTTACCTGCACGTCCTTGCGCATGACTCTCTCTCTTGCGCGCGCTCTCCCCCGCTCGCACGCCCTCTCGCTCGCCCTCTCTCATGCACGCAGCAATTTCATGAATAAATGAAAAATTAAATACAAACAGGTCGGAAGTATACTTGGGCTCCCAACACAGGTATCGTGTGTGGGAAACAGTGCAATGAGATGAAATTGAAATCACTTTTCTATTTTACAATTGTATTTTATATTGACTAAACATCTCGCGATCGACTGAGAATCAGTCAGCGATCTACCTGTCGATCGCGATCGACTGTTCGGGCACCCCTGTACTAAAACTATTAAATAACTTACTGCATTAGTTTACTCCTTTTCAATAATAGCTTACATATCCTTTGCAGTATTACGTTTCAGTATCAGACTATATTATGTTTATTATCTTGGGCAATAGTTGCTTCTAATGTCATCTGCAATATAACAATTCATATAATGTGCAATATTATCAATCAATCAATCTTTATTTGTAAAGCAACTTATAACAAGTATTATCTGGAGACACTTTACAAAAAGAGCAGGTAAAAGACCTTACTCATTGTTATGTTACAAAAAGCAGGTAAAAGACCTTACTTAATGCTATATTACTTTTCAGTTTGGCCTTTATGTTCATTATTATCTAAAGTATTTATTTTCATTATCAGGGACTTTTTCAATATGAATGAACTCATCCATTAGCTGCACCTTGTTCATTTCACTATCACTTTGATTTGCAATATCACTTTTCATTATTGTTGTACTATTATGTTGAATTATTAACTTCGGTTGATTCTGTTGTTTTAGGCCGTTTTTTTTTTTTTGCATAAACCCTCATCCACTTATTGACTTCATTAAAACGTCATGTTTTTGTGTTTCTCTCATTACTATAATGTTTGAGCTTAAATGTTACATGTTAAATGTTGTGTCTTAAACTTTGATATAAAATGGAAGTGTAATATTTGTACATATGTTGACATGAAGAGCTTGTTCCTTTGGCTCCAAATCAAGAGCGGGGGAAATGACATAACCAGCACAGAACTTAAGGTATTGAAAAATGGTAAATCTTAGAGGTTGAAAAGAGATCATTGTTCTCTGTATACTCATTCTGCAGTAAAGTGAAGAAAGTGTAAATTAATACCTGTTCATTTCTGCCTAGTTGATATTCAAACTACAAAAAGTCATTTTATTTTATGGCTTTAAGTTTAAATTTTTCACATTCGAATGAGTTGAAATAATGTCTACTGATAATAGTTAATTTG